CTTATGTTCAGCATTTATTTTCCTTTGTGTCTAAGTATTCTCAGCAGGTGGTAGATTCTCTTCCCTTCCCAGCTGATATGCCCACACACGTTTTTCAACCAGGATACTACGTTTTGGTTCTCAGCCTGAAAGACTTAGAAGGAGAACCGCGTTCTACGGCCCACCGACGCAAGTCCTACTGGTGACCAGAATGGCGATCAAGGTCAAGGGCCAGCCACAATGGATTCATGCCACCAGAGTCAAGGCCGCACCACCTCAGAGTGTAGTATCAACATCAATTTCAGATTAAGAGAAGTAGCACCTTCATTTAAAAGAAGATGTGCAGTGTGTGTCTTAAATGATGTCATTTATGTGGTGGAACCAGTTTAATTTCTTCCAAATCACACAAATTCACGGGATACATACATCTAAAAAAACATGAATTCAGTGGATTTGTCAAGCCAGTACTATGCCTTACCAAATGATCATCAGATTTTTACACACTCCCAGCTAGTCTTTAAATCTATATTTTGGAATACAGAGTTACAGAATGCTAACAACTATCTCATAGCACTTACACGACATGACCTGGCGTCAGTGGCTAATGCAACGAATTTAGGCTTTCGATCTATTAATAATGAGCTTGCTTTGTTGCGTCAATTTGCCATTGATAATTGTGTTGCATTAGATTCACTGACAGCTTCCCAAGGAGGAGTGTGCACCATTGTGGGAGAGGGGTGTTGCACATATCTTCCATCCTAATCCGAAGGGCTGGGTAATTTAACTGTTATAATTAAGAACCTTAAAGAGATCCAAGAAGGCATTGTAAATACCAATAGAGACGCACGAAACACTGGAGGCTATTTAAATCAAAGGCCATGGGATACGATTTTCTTTAGAGAAAACCCCACCATTGCATGGATTTTGAGCATATGTGCCCCTCTTATTGGAATGATTCTACTCATAGCCATCATAATGGGTTGTTGTTTTCCTATTTTCCGTGCACTAATTTTGAAATCTGTCCATTCTGTCACCAACATGACCGTGATCCAGAACCCGGTCAGGAATGTAACTGTCTAGACCCCACCAGAGTCTAGCAGTAGTGATTCCACCTCTATCTCATCTGAGTCTTCTGGAGAACCCAACAACTGATCACCGGAGGAAGTGGTCATTGAACGGCGTATAATGGAGCACGTGAGGGATGGACTCCGACCTTCTCAACGGCAGTGAGGCGAAGACTGGGTGAAAAGGGGGGTCGGGTAACAACAGGTCCCTCGTCCCCGGAGCCCAGCATTGAAGAAACAAGTGTGCTGCTATTTGAAGAGGAGGAAGGGGAGAACCGGACGTGTCCTGGAGATGCCGTGTCAACAACGTGTTATTTAATCATATTTTCAAAAGGATTGACTAGATTTACTATAGGGGAAGCCCCAGGCCTTATATCCATAGAATGTGAATGGGCCTCTTACGCCATGTTTTAGAAACTAGAAGGAATTATGTTTTGCATTGGTTGTGATGATATTTAGTCCCTATTAGCATGATGTGTAAAGAATCGGAATTGTTTGCTGTGTTGCAGATAGAAAAAAAAAATCAAATAGAAAAAGGGGGAATTGTTAGTATGTATTTTTACATCTCCACTGACCAGTGGATACTTGGTCAAGACCCCCCTGGGGATCATGTCCCTCATAGCGTCAGAAGTGCTAGGCTTACTGATGAATGGGCAAGTTAGACTCATTTTAGTTGGCCCAAGGTCAATTTAAATGTGTCAGAGCACCATTTTAGGTAACAGTATACATGCCACTATCCTATATAAACTCTGTCTCTCTCTGTTCACAATCATCACATAGCTTCTGCATGTAGCCACTGTTGATCCGAGCTTGTAATAAAACGTGCATTAAGAAAGAACTCTGTGATCGGCCTCATACTTGAATTCTCAGATCATCACAGAAACAATCTCACCATATGTAATAGTAAAGTTCAACATAATGTTCAGTTTGTAATGCTTACCAAACCAAAAGCCTCATACCAAATGGATCCATACAAGTACGTGTATTGTAACACCCTTAGTGGCTAATGAGTGTGAAAGCATGTCTATATAATCAGAAACCACCATGACTCACCTGACTCCACCTTCTGCTTCTATATTCTGTATATTGGATTACTGATAATGTATTCAACCTCTCTTCTATGGTGCACTGATTTTATGATCAGCAAAATTTTAAAAAAAATGTGTTGGTCAAAAAAAAATGGACCTGGAGATTTTGTTTGCGGAGATTTTGTTTGTGCCCTAGTTTTAGAAAATAAAGCCCCAAATTTCCAAATCATGGAGTAATGTATGGAGTTATGTGGGTTTTGTTAATAACTGGCAAACTTTATGGGGAAAACCTGGTCTTATTAGGAGAGACGGCATTCATCCCACTTTGGATGGAGCTGCTCTCATATCTAGGAACCTGGCCAAGTTTATTAGTAATTCAAAACCCTGACAACTCAGAGTTGAGACCAGGACTCAGAGTCAAAGTCTTACACGCTTCTCTGAGCTTCTAGCGCAGTTACCCAGCCACAGAATTATACAAACGGTGTCTGTCCCCCGACCACTTAAATTATCTAAATCTAAAATTAAACAAAGAGGAGTTGTGCATAACAACCTCATAAAAATTAAAACCTCTTCTGTGACAGAAAGACAAAACAGGAGAATTAAATGCAGACTGTTAAATATCAGGTCTCTATCATCTAAAGCAGTGTTAGTAAACAAATTAATATCAGATAATCATATTGATTTACTCAGCCTCACTGAAACCTGGCTGTGTCAAGATGAATATGTCAGTCTAAATGAATTCACTCCTCCGAGTCATAATAATACCCACATTCCTCGAGGCAGCGGCCGAGGAGGGGGAGTTGCAGCCATTTTTAACTCTAGTCTATTAATCAGCCCTAAACCTAAACTAGATTATAATTCATTTGAAAGCCTTGTTCTTAGTCTTTTACATCCGACCTGGAAAACCTCGCAGCCACTTTGATTTGTTATAGTGTACCATGCTCCTGGCCCGTATTCTGAATTTGTATCTGAATTCTCAGAGTTTTTATCCAGTTTAGTTCTTAAATCAGATAAAGTTATTATTGAGGTGATTTTAACATTCATGTCGACGTTGATAATGACTCCCTGGCTACCGCGTTTATCTCGTTATTAGACTCCATTGGCTTCAGTCAGGGTGTACATGAACCCACTCATTGTTTTAACCATACCCTCGATCTAGTTCTGACGTATGGAATTGAAATTGATAGCCTAATAGTCTTTCCACAGAATCTCTCTCTATCAGATCATTATTTAATAACTTTGGATTTCTTTCTACTCGGTTACACACCACTCAGCAACAGTTACTATACTCAGTGTTTATCAGATAGTGCTGTCGCAAAATTTAAGGAAATGATTCCATCGACATTAAATTTAATACCGTGTCCTTCTGAAACAGAGGTTTCCCATACTGACTTTTAACTCTCCCGAATTGATCATCTTGTCGATGGTGCCGCAGGCTCTCTTCAAACAACACTCGACTCTGTAGCACTTCTTAAAAAGAAGTTAACAAAGCAAAGAAACTTTGCTCCTTGGTACAACTCTCAAACCCAAAAATTAGATTAAATAAGAACTCCAGGTTTCTTTTCAGCACTGTAGCCAGGCTGACTGAGAGTCACAGCTCTATTGAGCCTTGTATTCCTTTAGCCCTTAGCAGTAATGATTTTATGAGCTTTTTTAATGACAAAATTCTAACTCTCAGAGGCAAAATTCATGACCTCCTGCCCTCAAACAGAACCAATCTGCCCTCAAATACAGCTGTAAGACCTAATATACATAAATATATATATATATATATATATAGATATATAGATAGATAGATAGCTTCTCCCCAATTTCTCTTCAACAATTGACCTCAGTGTTTCTTCTTTAAATGGTCAAGCTCCGTCATATCTTAGTGAGCTCATAGTACCATATTATCACACTAAAACACTGCGCTCTGAGAATGCAGGGTTACTTGTGGTCCCTAAAGTCTCCAAAAGTAGATCAGGAGCTAGAGCCTTCAGCTATCAGGCTCCTCTCCTGTGGAATCATCTTCCTGTTACGGTCCGGGAGGCAGACACCGTCTCCACATTTAAGACTAGACTTAAGACTTTCCTCTTTGATAAAGTTTATAGTTAGGGCTGGCTCAGGCTTGCCCTGTACCAGCCCCTAGTTAGGCTGACTTAGGCCTAGTCTGCCGGAGGACCCCCTATAATACACCAAGCACTTTCTCTCCTTCTCTCTCTTTGAATTAGAGAGAGAATTATTGTCACATACATATACTATCATATATTAATATATACCTACAACATATTGTACCACAATAGCCATAATTATTATTGTAATATTATTACTTAAATGAATGCTGTTGTAAGCTATTATCATTACTGTCTGTCCTGCGTCTCCCTCTCTGTCTGTCTCTCTTTATGTATCATTTTGTAATACGGATTACTGTTAATTTATTATGCTGATCTGTTCTGTACGGCATCTATTGCACAGCTGTCCATCCTAGAAGAGGGATCCCTCCTCAGTTGCTCTTCCTGAGGTTTCTACCATTTTTTTCCCCGTTAAAGGGTACGCTGTGAGGGTCCTAAGGACAGAGGGATGTCGTATGCTGTAAAGCCATCTGAGGGAAATTGTTATTTGGGATATTGGGCTTTATAAATAAAATTGATTGATTGATTGACTGACTGATTGATTGATTGATTGATTGATGATTGAGTGTTTTGTCAGATGAAGCAACAGTAAGCTGTTTACAAGCACAATAAAATATTTTTAAGTAGCCTGTGGTTCTCACTGACTGACTGACTGATTGATTGATTGACTTATCGACTGATGGATTGATTGATTGATTGATTGATTGGTTGATTGATCGATTGATTGATTGATGATTGAGTGTTTTGTCAGATGAAGCAACAGTAAGCTGTTTACAAGCACAATAAAATATTGTTAAGTAGCCTGTGGTTCTCACCTGGCATGGAGGTGGACATTGTTCGACTCTGAATGCTGGGACTGATTGGTCCTCCCCCCTTGCTCGTAAAAGCTTGGACTCTGATGTCATAGGTAGTGTCTGGCTGCAAGCCTTGGACAGTCATCTGTGTTTCTGTGGTGCTGTCGGTGTTGTTGTGCTGGCTATTGATATCTCGATACACCACCACATACTTGACAATCTTTCCATTCCTCTCAGCCAGAGGAGGGGGGTCCCAGGCCAGCTTATTGGAGGTGGCAGTCAGGCCTACCACAGTCAGATTCTGGGGATAGCTGCTTGGAATGTCCTCAGGGGTGCTGATTTCCTTTACATATTCCTCCCCATTGCCTGCTTGGTTTTTGGTGCACAGTTTGAAGATGTAGGTGGCTCCCTTGTGAAGGCCGGTGACTGTGAAATGATCATCTGCCTTTCTGAAGTCTTTGATAGTGAAAGCTTCCTCCTCTGCTCTCTTGTACTGCAGCTGGTATCCCACATGCTCCCCGACCATCTCCTTAGGAGGCTGCCACTGGATCAGGGCAGTGTTCCCTACGGTGGTGCTGATCATCATTGTGGGTTTGCCAGGCACTGAAAGACACATTGATGCCCTATTTTAGTTGCTGTACAACAGATATCTGTCCAGAAATGTTCTTTCTAATTGTAGTTCTTTCTCTGTTTGGTGGAGAAATAACTATGACACTGGCTACATACATTATGGTCACGTAAGTAATTGCTGAGACCTCTGAAAGTAGTTACATTTTCAAAACAGGTCAGATGGGGCTAAAAGTACCAGCAGTCAGACAATCATACGGGTTGTAAAAAAAAAATAGCTACCACTATATTTGGAGGTGAAACTGAACGTGAACGCACCCATAATGCTGCAAACAATCCATTACTGCACAGCAAAAACATGTGTGCAAACAACTAAGGCAAGTACAGTGAGTCAAAGTTGTGAGTCAAAGGTGTGTGGGGCATGGAAAGCACACGGGTAATGAAATGGCTCACCCAAGCTGTGCTCACAGGGTGAGTGTCAGAAGCCAAGTGTCATTGCTGGCAGCTTTGCAAGAATGCAAAGTAACAAAAAAAAACATCAACCCAGGATCAAATGTGGAAAAGCCTGGAGATTTCTGTACAGTCTGACTGAGTCTGACTGAGTCTGGCTGCTCATGCTTTTTGTACTGTTGGATCTATTGTTAGCTATGTTGCTGCATTCTGAGACCTTAGCAATTAGTCAGGTGAGTATAATGCAACCATAATCAATAAAATCAATAAGATTTTCTTTATCCATAAGGGGCATTGTCCACTGAAGTGTTTTCCCTGAGGCCAGCATATATTTTTGATGCTTTGCAATGAGAGTGCTCCATTTTTACACTGCGCTACAATCGGCAGTGGCATGACGACGTGCTGAGTCTACTCTGCTTTAAGTGCTGCATGTTTGGTTTTTCCAAGTGCCAAGAATTGAAAAATGTTCAATAATGGCTAAGATACTGCATTCATCACTGTCACTTTTTACCCAGCCATTCAGTCACAGTGGAGGAGGGCCAAATACCAAGAAGACCAACCATCATATCTTACATGTACAACTGGTGGGTCTGTCCTCTCTCCTTACCTGCCTCAGCCTTCCCTTCATCCAAATCAAGTACTCTACCTTAGTGCTGGCATTTTTATTTCCACGGCTATTCCGTATCATAGCAACCATTAGTGACCAAAATATCTTAGTTAAAACATGCTGCGCCTCCAAAGTGCTCCCAAGTGCTCCCAGCTGGGCATTTCCTTGAGGGGTGCCTGGCATTTTCAGCTGTGAAAAAACATTGGTGGACACTCTGCATAACCCTAACCATTAAAGCATGATGGACAAGTTCCCTTACCTTAACGAAGGTATTGTTTTTAATCCAAACCTGGGTAGGTTTTTTTTTTGCCTAAACCTAACCAAAGGATACCCATGGCAGGGGTATATAAGGTCACACAAAGCCTTTTAATAACAGTAATTTGTTTTAGTTTTGGAATAAAGTAACAAATAATGTCATCCTGGTGTCAGTGGCATCAGATAGCCTTGCTGGTAATATGAGCAATATCAGTCGAAAGTTTGTTAACATTAGCCAACATATTCTAGAACAAGGAAGGCTGTAGCAGCAAAACCCCTGAGGGTATTCAATTAAGTAAGGTTGTGTTTTACTGCTTATATATGAACCTTTCATTTTCGAAGACAGAGGGTGTTATTCCTTCTTTCAAAATGTATTTAATGTTGCCACAGCTGATCATCGAATGTGTGTTTTTTCTGTTGCCAAAAGTGTGAAGATGAGGCAAGAACAGACAGCACACACCTGCTCCTGTGGTGGTGACCACCTTGGCCTTGCTGGGAGCTCCATCACCCTTGGTGGTATACGCAGCCACCGTCACAGAGTAGGTTGTCTCTGGGAGCAGACCTGTTACAATGGCCTCCTGTGTGGTAGAGAGAAAAAGAGAAGAATAAGAAAGAGGAAAGGAGGGAGGGACACAGAGAGTAATGGAAACAGAAGGTGAAGAGAAAGGAAAAGACACAAAAAAATTCAGGTCGAGACAATGGCCTCAGTTTAACTAGTGCACTTTCAGTCAGTACAAGGCACTTAGGAACACGGAAATAGACAAGTCAAGCACATTACATGCATTTCCAACACTCCCAAGGTATGGAAACTCATCTTTGAGGAAAAAGTTAAGTGAGTGTTATGAATGAAAATCTTGAGTGCATTTACTTAAGATTCTCAATGAAGGTCACAGTTCTTGGTCCTTGACTGTACTGTTAGATGGTATGTGGGCTCTATCAACATTGACTAAACATACAGTAGGTCAAAGGTGGACCAGACAGTGGTGGAACATAACTAAGTACATTTACTCAAGTACTATACTTAAGTACAATTTCAAAGTACCTGTGCTTTACCTGAGTATTTCCATTTTTGTGCTACTTTACACATTTTTACTCCTCTGCATTGTTGAGGGGAATTCATTGTAAAAAGTAATGGGTTACAGTAATATATCATGTTTCAGCAGCAATTAAGTACATCACGTAATGCATTACCATCAGAAATAAACTGTTTTATTCTGTATCCACATTGATCCACACCGCTCCACTGTGCTCCTCAAAAAAAAACCTATCATCCGTAAGTTATTGTGTGTTGTCATGTCATTACAGACTACATTATAGAGAGGTGCTGGTGATCAGCACATCATAACATCACATCTGTGCAATATGATGTGCAATCACATCTGTGCAATATGATGTTCAATGTGTCTCCATTCATACACCTGCAACTTCTAAAATGTATCCCATTCTGCTTTTGTGTCGTAAGTGTTAGGATTTGTTTGAGCCTCTCTTTTTTTCCCTGTTTTTCCCTCCCTTTGTGTTATGTGTTTGTGTTGTCTTGTTCTCATCCCCAGGACCGGGCAGGGCCACCAGTCTTCTGCTCTCACTCTCCTGCACACCTGCAAAGCATCAGTCTGATTACTTCTTATCTCAACTTCATGCAGTATAAAACCCAGCTTCACGTTCCACTCTTTGCCAGTTCATTGTTTCAGCCTTACACCACGTTTACACATAGCCAGGTATTTAGAGAAACGAATATTTCCCCCCCTCCATTTTCAATAATAACATCGTGCATACAACATCGTTATCAAAAATGTTGTCATTTACATGAACCCGGATAAATACGCCATCGAGCACCGTCATAACTATGCCAAACCTATGGGCGGCAGTGTAGGGAGAAGGATGAAGCTATGCATGCCAATCAGAATCCTCAGAATCGACAACAACAACAACAACAACAACAACAAATAAGACGTGCGACTTCCTGTTCCTTTCAAAACAGTAAACATGGTGGGAGGTTCGTTTGTGTGGACTGACAGTGAAGTGGAGCTACTCCTAAATATCGCTTTAATCGCCGGATTTCCACTGGATGTGTGTCCATTGCGGAACGGCAGTGCTGGTTATCCGCTGCGTGTTCCGCCATCCGTCAATACCCACCGGCTGCATTTGCTGTGCGGAGCGGTGCAGCATTTGCTGGCGCATGCTGTGACGTTTCAGAACCTAAAACCCAGTTTCACCCAGTTTAGACAGCAACACATAAACGGCATTTTCAGAAATCTCCACTTTGGCCGGAGTTTTTACAAATGATCGTTTTCCGTGAAAAAAAACTCCGTTTGCATGTAAACAAGAGGCCAAACCGCATGAAAATATGTGCGTTTTTCCTACGTGTAAACAGGGTATCAGTGGTAACGCTCTCAGCCTCGTTATTCTTTGCTCTGTGTTCTTGTGGTTTTTGGATCCTTGACAGGTTTCAGATTATGCTAGTTTTTGGATTGTTTGTTGGATACTGTCGCCTCGAACTAACTTTGAATATATTTTTGCTTCCTAGCCCTGCCACCTGCCTGCCCCCAGCCTTGCCTCTCCCAGCCCCGTTGTGTTGTCTTTCCTCACCTGGACTCCTTCATCTGCCATGGATCCCCGTCGTTGTATTTGTTTTTGTCACTTCTTTTCTTTATATCATAATTGTAGGTGCTCTTTTATTTGATTTGTTGGGAACCGGAGGTTTGCCGATTCAAGTCCCCGTCCAGACCAAATGTGGAGCGTGGACTGGTGGCTGGAGAGGTGCCAGTTCACCTCCTGGGCACTGCCGGGGTGCCCTTGAGCAAGGCACTGAACCCCCCAACTGCTCGGGGCGCCTGACCAAAGCAGCCCCCTCACACTGACATCTCTCCACTCTGTGCATGTATAGGTCCTGTTTGTGTGCATGTGTGTGTATTTCAGACCTGTGTGTTAATGACAATGGAGTGAAAAAACTGAATTTCCCCTCAGGGGGATTAATAAAGTATATAAATTATTTCACCGTATTTCTTGTCCCCTACACACCCAAATTCAACCACAAATGGTCATTGCAAAATACCTCATAAATGTTGATGCATAGAAATAAGCCTGCAATATCCCCACCCTGGAAGATGAGTTGAAAATGGAAGTTTGATTATTAGTTTTGATGATTGCAAACTAACTGAACATTGATTGTGTGTTAACTTTTTTTCTGTTGACAAATTGACCCTCATATTGTATGGGCGCTTGTATCTTGATGTGGGTCCCATCTATTACCCTGCACACTTTTGGAAAGCTGGCAACATCAAAGAAGTGCACCGCTATCTCATCCTCATATTGGGACAGGAGCTTGACCACAGTGTTTTGCAGAATGATGCGGCACACAGTTGACGTGTACGTGAAATGCCTCACCAATAAGTGATTGGAAAGATCCCATTGCATAAAACCACAAAGCAATCATTTATTATAACAGGGCTGGAAAAGCGCAGCTTCGGAAAGTTGAGTGTTCCAACTTAAGATGTTGAGACAAATCATAAATCGACCTCCAGTCGAGTTTATAGTGCAAAATCAATTGCTCAGACATGTTGGAGTTCAGATGCAGTCAGAGGTACTTTATGTTCTTTCCTTACTTTGGTTGCTAAGGTCCTTCTGTGTAACAGTTAAACAAACTTTAAGCAATTCCTTAAGTATAAGACCAAGATATGGAAAAAAAAAAGGTAAGGAAACCTTAAGACTCAAGGATGTTTTGTGCAATTGATTTTATTTAAAAGAAATCTTAGGCTGGATTTAAAGGAAAATCTTAACTTAAAGTGCTTTATGCAACCAGCCCCTGGGTGTTCACATAGACAGTTAGCTGGACTGGACTAAAAACACTGATGCTGTGTATAAGAAAGGTCAGAGCCACTTGTATTTTCTCAGGAGACTCAGCTCTTTCAACGTCTGCAGAACCATGCTGCAGATGTTTTATAACTTAGTAGTAGCCCGTGTCATCTTTTCTGCTGCAATGTGTTGCGGCAGCAGGGTGAAGGCAGCTGATGCTAACAGACTCAATAAGCTCATCAGGAAAGCTGGTTCTGTCCTGGGAGTGGAATTGGAGTCCACTAAGGAGGTGTCATAGAGGAGGATGAGTTCTGGACAACGCCTCTCACCCCCTGCATGCCACTCTGGAGTCCTATCAGAGCACATCCAGCTGTAGACTGAGACCACAGAGGAGCACCGCAGAATGCCACAGGACATCCTTTCTACCTGTGGCCATCAAATTCTTCCTCTCCCCCCCTACAGAAGGGTGAGCTGAAACAAAGGACACTGAGTGTGTTTACATGGACAGTTAATTCCCTTTTCATTCGGAATGAAAGTTCATTCCTATTAAAAGTGATCTTGTAAAAACCTAATTCGGAATGAAAATGGCCAATGCGATTGAAAATTCTTTCCGATGTAAGGGGCTGGAATATTCCGTTTCTAATTCCGAATGAAAGAATTTCTCGCACTTGTATACACTCATTCCTCTTTAAGTTCATTCTGGTCTTTCTGCGCATGCTCGTTTCCTTGCCCTTCTGGCGCGATGATGTATATAGCACACACACTACTCGTTGCACTAACCGGTTTCCATTCGCCAAAGCACGGTCTTCTATCTCCCTTCTTCGACCTTCTACCTCCCTTCTCCTCCTCAACAGACGAAGCGTTAGGGACTTTAAGCAGCAGCGGATTTTGCCACGGCTAAGGCTCCCGGAAAAAAATCTCTCCTGGCGCTGGTGCCGTAGCCATCAAATCCACAGTAGTCATTAAGCAGGTTGCTGCAGTAGCTGTCAGGTCAGAACAGCTGATCGCTCACCACGTGACAGGGGTGAGGGTATAAACACAGCTCAAGTGAGCTATCTCAGTCCGGTAAAAATGTCTTTCAAAAGGGCTAGAGGGAAGCTGCTCTATGCATTAGATGACAAGTTAATATCAGAGGAAGAGTTTTTGTTATTATATGACGTGAACAAATCTAAGAACTTAGATTTACCATATCAACACTCACTCTAAGAAATGAAACATAGATGTTGGCATTAAATAATCATTTAAGGTAAAATTACTGAATAATTGCATGTTTGACGATTAAATCAAGAGAGTACCATTACATTAATATAACAGTAATAGGTGTTGGAATTACAAAACTATGCTGAAATGAATCTACGTAATCAAGCTGATTAAAACGCACTGCAGGCGTTGAACTGAATGAAGACTGTCCCAACGCAATTTCCTTACTTTCTTGCACATGCGCAGTAAAGCCGTGGAGGACGCCATTTTCCAGAGCTCCCATGTGCGTGTCAGCTGGTTTCTGTTCAATCCACTGCCTGCCATCCTCCAGTTTTTTTGGTAAGTTTAGGAAATATTAAACAATATTAAACAAAATAGTGCGCATACTACATCAGACTCAGACAGTTTCTCAAGACCGAAGTCAAATTTCCGTGTGTTGTTTACCAACCAAGCTGAAAAGGTATCGGCGTTAGCCCCGCGGTGTGGCTAACACTAGCTAACGTTAATTGAGCTGAGCTCACACAGTCAGTCAGTCATGGATATATGAAGAGTTTTTTTTACGGTAAAAGAAGGGAAGCAGTGGCAC